TGACAAATAATCTGACTCAGTGCAAAAATAGTGAGTTAAAAATGGTTGGCTTAACCCTAAAATATTTGGGGATTCCAAAGACCTCTTCACTTTATGTTGTTTCTCTTGTCTTCATTTCAACTTAATTCTCTAAAAATCTTCATGGGTTTCTTATGTAACAGATAATCAAATCCATCCAACAGATGCCACATCCCAAACCTCTTCAAGACAAGCCCTTTTCTATTTGCTTCTCTTGAGTTTGCTATGGTAGAATTCTCTTACAAGTCTCATTCCTTAATAGGAATGATATGGCTGGGCAGGACTCAACAGTCCTCAAAGAAACTCTACTCTGTTTGAAATGTTTTATGAGCCACTCTCTTATATCCTTCTGAGGTATTAACAAAGGACTTTGAACACTCAATCTGGATTTTATCTTTTCCAGAGCCATTTTTAATTTAGTAATTTTTAAGAGAATCTGGATATAAGAAACAGTTTTATTTCAAACCTTGTGTCCTCTAGATCTTTTATATTTAAGGTTTATTTGGGGGCAGGGCATAGTGGAGCATACCTATAATTCCAGATACTTGGGAGGATCAGTTTGAAGCCAGAGCGGGCAAACAGTCAGTGAGACACTATCTCACCAAATAAGCCAGGCATGGTGGCACATGCCTGTGGTCCCAGCTATGTGGGAGGCCATAAGTAAGAGGATTTTGGTCTGAAGCAGGCAAAAACATGAGACCCTACTGGAAAAATAACTAAAGCAAAAAAAAAAAAGGGCTGGGAGCCTGTTTCAAGTGCTTGTATAGCAAACATGAGAGCCTGAATCCAAACCCCAGTGCCACCATAAAAAATAAAACTAAGGTTTATTTTTAGGTCCTCTCTTGCCTCACATTTAATCCTACACAATGAGAAAAAAAATGAGGTGCACTTGCAATATTCTGTCTGGGAATCTTAACTACACCACTGCATTAAACAGGTACACTTCCTCTTTGCTTCATTTCCACAGGTGTTTATGTTGGCAGACTCCATGCTATCACCCAACAAGGGATCCCTTTCTTCCAAGTTTCAAAACATCTTCACTTTCCTTTAAGCCTTCACTGTCAGCCTCCTCAAAGCTTTTCAAATTTCCACTAATGCTCTTTTGGCTTTTACTAAGTCTCTTCAGGGTCATTCCAGCTTCTTCTCCCCAGCCAGGCATTCCCACAGCCAATGCCACGTGTATGGTTTTGTTAGGGCAGCATCCCACTTCCAGGTACCAAAATTCCTAGTAGATGTCTGTGGACCCATAAACTATGCCTAAAACTTAGAAATCTGTTCATGAATCTGCAATTTGGGGTTTGTCTCAAATCTATGCAGTGTCACCAGGGTGGTTTGATTAGCCGCTGGAGAATCCACACTCAAGATAACCCCTGTAGTTCCCAATTTGGTGCTGTCTGCTGGATGGAGGTTGGCTAGGGCCAAAGACCAGAAGCTTTTGTTTTTTTCCTATTATCACCTGTAAGTGTTATCATGCAGTTATTTTCATTGACTAGCATAATCAATTAGAAACCCCTTAATTTTTAGAGAAATAACTATTAAGTTTCATATCAAGCAACCTCAAAAGAATATGGGCTGGTAATAAGCACTTGTTGCATGTGGAAGTTTTTCTAGCATTGTACCAGAGTATTTTGGAGATGCCTAAACGTTCCTTGTTTGAGTAAGAAACCAGGAAGTTGGGAGTGGCCACCACTTCTCAAAAGTGCCTCTTCTCTTACCTGCCTTTCACAAGACGTCAAGGTCATGAAATACGGAATGCCTACACTTCCTGCTTGGTCTGAATCATTTGTAATACCTAGCAGTTGAATATTTATTCAGCTGTAGGCTGTATATCTTTCAGAATTATATCAAGTCGAAAATCACTTGGGTATCAAGCATCAACTAGAGTTCTAACATGAATAGCAGGACCTCTCAAAAGAAAATAATTACAATGTATTCTTGATAGAATCAATTTTGTTTGTAATATTTTTTATAATAAATGAAACCATTTAATTTGGAATTTACAGTAAAAAGTATAAATTGGTATTTTGAGCAGTTTTTCTCAACTTGTTTTTATTTTTATTTATTTGTTTTGGTGGTACTGGGGTTTGAACGCAGGGCCTCATGCTAGCTAGGCAGGTACTCTGCCACTTGAGACATTCTGCATCCCTCTCAACTTGACTTTAAAATACGTATCTTAACAGGCTCAGAAGATTGTGAAAGGCTATGTCTTCTATGGGTTGTACTTCAAAGACTATTTTTCCAAAACATAAAATTATGAAACTGAATAATGGCATACCCATGCAAGTGAGTGTAAATCCACAAATCCACACACACAGCCCTGGCCTCTCCTTTGCTCCCTTTACTCATGCTATCAACTGAAAGTGTAAGTAATTTAAAGAAACATGTTTTGAGCCAGCTTTACTTTAATGCAGCTAATCTATCAGTTAACTGAGAAATAATGAAAATGAGCTGTTAGACTTAAATCCATGTGAGAGGTTAAGCGTTGTTGGAAAAAATGTCCCCCAAATCATGAGTAATAGTCACAATGATATAATATTAACCACATAAATTAAGCTTCCTTCAATGCTGTTATGCCCCTCTCCACATAATTCCTTTCAAAATCCAAAACCTAGGGAATTATAGCTGTTTCACTCATTTCTTTTTTTTAGCTATGGGCAAATCATGTAAGCAGAATGTACCAAAGACTCTTCTAGGGAATTAATACCTACTCTAAAAATGATTTATTAGAGTTATGTCTGATAAAATTGTAATATTGTGTTCTGCTTTCAGTTGTTTACATAATGGAAAAATAACAAATTATACCTAAAGAATTTTGAAAGACTTGACTCAAATGCTAACAAAATTAGTAATTTGTCAAGTGGTAAACTAAAAATCTTAAAATTGACTTTGCTATTTGTTCCTTTTACTCAAGTTTCTCATGGAATGTTGGTTGAATCTCATAATGAGATCTCAGAATAGAAAATGATAAAAGTATGAATGCTTAATATTTGTCACTAAAATGCTGTCTGTTCCTAAACATGAGAGGGAGGATTAATTTGTACGGATACTGCAAAGTATCCATACTAAGATTCAGCCAAGGTGGATTTGAATTAGTTGATCTGAACAAGAACAAGAGAGCTGTCCACAATTGAAGGGAAGAAAAGCCTAATGTGTGCTCTCCATCCATGGCCAATCCCTGAGATGGGACTAAAAGCAGAAATGATCAACATTTCACAAGGGGCTCATGAGATAAAGCTAAGCTATGAAAAATGCTGTTTTGTTGCTGAGGTTTTAAGTGGTGATACAGCAAAAAGGACTCTCCTTTTCCATAGACTATGTTGTATAACTTCAGCCAATTGAGAACCCTAGAAGAAGAGCAGGGGAACAAGAGAAGAAATCACTTAGAATCATCTGTAAGGATTGTTGTGAGAAGAAATGAGTAACTCTTTGGAGACCCTCAATATTAGTGGATGTGATTTAGGACAGGGGGATGTGCCAGCCCCTGACAATAGGTCTCTTATCATCATGCAATGAGGACTGAGTAAACATATTACATTATTTGAATACCTATAATTTGTATATTTTGATGGTTTCTAACAATTTAGTTTCTGATCAAATATAAATCACAAAAATCATGACATTTACAACTGAGATTTTAACTGCTGTCCCTAGTTATTCTATCAAGAGCAGTTTCTGCACAGGCACAGGGTTGCGAGAGATGTTTGTGAATCAACTCCTCAGACAGTATCTGATATACAATACTTAAAGGTTTTTTTTTTCTTTATATTAAGACTGTAGAAATAAAGGAATTATTTAACATGTGCCAAAATATAACCATGAGTCATCTGTACGTGGTTTACTAAACAATTAACTCAAGAACAGGAATAATAAATTACTGTTTGACACAGGTGTACTTGTTTTTAATCACTAATCCCTTCCCAGAAGGAATGGTACCACATGTCCTTCAAGTCTGAGAAACTGCCCATTGTCAATGGTTTATCATTCATAGTGACTAACTTTCAAAATCACCATTTTGAGATTTTCTTCTATGCCCTTAGCACAGTATGTTCAAGCTATAGTCAACTTGCATCTTTAAAAATACGCTGTCATCATTTACGTAGTAATTCAAACTCAACTTACACATTCTGGATAACTTTTGCTAATGCTCTTGACTATTTGAACCTCACACTTTCCAGTCTTCAGAAAACGTTACTCAAGCCAAAGTTTCTTGGTAAGGTGTTCTCTGACTACACCAGGCTACACTATCTCAAATCCATTTATAAACTTGACACTTCTAAACTTACTTATACTTAAGACACCTTGATTTTACATCTCATTTTTAAGGCCCTTTTCATTCTTCATTCTACAAAACATGGTTGCTTAACTGTAATGGCTTTCAAGTACTTTTAAATATACAAAAGTTTAAAATGAAGAGAGGGAAAATGCAACTGTAGCAGTGCTGAGGCTCATTTTACTTACATACTATGTAAGATATAGGCCTGTTAGTTCAGTCGATTATTTCAACTGTTATATATCAAATTTTGATTACTAAATTCTAGGACTATTTAACTGTTAGAAAAGTAGTTAAAAACCTGAATAGTTAAAATCATTTATGCCTGTATTACTATTGATACAGAGTGTTGGGTTTACATATTTATTACTGTTAAATTCAATTGGTTAACTTGCTGCATTAAACAAAGATTAAAATAACATTTCAATATTTGTCTTTACAGTTTAACAGAACATTTTAAGGAGTTTTATTTGGTCTCAGATAGGAATATTCATAACCACAGAACTACAGCAGCCCAAGAAGCATCACTCTGTGCCTCGTAAGGTGGTTTAGACTTAACTTGCACTTTTTGAAAGTATCATATGAGGCATTACAGGGAAAGAGTATCAAACTCATCAGGTTTTATGTTGCAATTCTTTCAGACTTTATTTGTTATGCATCAAATTTAATCTAGACTGTTCATGTTGCAGTTAAAGAAAAAAAACTGACAACATTTTAGGCAAAATAAATATTTTATTGTTTTAATGGTTTTTTTTAGAAATTAGCCTTTGCGTGATATTTCAAACATTTATAAACATTTTATTCTTTCGAAGAACATTGTCAACGTCTCAACCACTTTTGATTAAAATTTCACACACAGACAGTAAGAGTTGAAAATTATAAATGCTAGAAGAATAATAATATTTGGTTGCTACTTTATACATTTATTTGACACATATAAAACCAAATAGGAAACCATTTTCCTTTTTCTTTCATAAAACAGTTTTCACTGGTTAAAACTGAATTAAAATCACTTATGTATGAGGAAAACAAATCTAAATTACTTCCATTTTGGAAATACAAAACCCAGCTTATTCATTTCTATCCATTCAAGTCACAGACCCCATTACTTTGACAATAGTCTACTATTTAGTCTAAAAGACAGAAGAAGAAACATCTTCTTGTAGTAAGAAGTCTGGACAATGAAAAAAATACATAGTGTTTAACATAAGGCACATTTCCCAAAGAAAAATACTAGGTAAGCTATAATAAAATTGCATTTGTTTGGGGTAAAGCAGCAAGGCTTACAGTGTAAGAACAGTAAGTAGTTCTAGGTAACCTCATATAATTCTATACTACTGCCGTTAATAGCCTTCTCAAGAATTAAAAGCAATTTTTACACCACAACAGTTTGTCTTCTTGGAAGTGACACTAAGTAACAGCAGTGGAGGGAAAATCATTGGTTGCTTCAAGCTCTCAAAAATGAATCAGTTATTGCACAGTAAATACCTCATAGAGGTCAGTGATGTAAGAATCTAGTCTGAAGAAAAATGTTATTTAAATTGGTTATGCCTGGAAGTCTTCAAGTTTTATAATTAAGTCTACATAAGAAATCAACTGGAAAGTATTGACAGACAAATAAATATTAGGCTTTTCAAACTGCTACAGTTTTGATAGTTAGAAAAGACTTAGCAAAGTGCCTAAGTTTTATGTATTTTTTAAAGATATGCATTGAAGAAATGAACACTGTACACTGTATACAGTAGCCCAGCTCAGCAGAAGTGTCTTCCAAAGTATAGATAACACCTCCACCAGTGTCTATCATCCATAACTCCCAACATTACACAGCTAAAAGGATCCACGCCAATCTTGAAAAGGAAAGAGAAAGCAGTATTAAACTCCTTTCAAATATTATTCCTGAAAGTCTTTAAAAGCAGAATGAGAATTTTATTCATAATATATATATGTATGTATATGTGTGGTATATATGTGTGTACACATGATCCTGCTATGGTATCTATGTATCTTTTTGAAAGTTAATTCTTTTATCCCTGACTTTTAAAAAGAAATCCTATTAGTTCATTAAAATATTTTCCCATTTTTCACGGCTGAAAACTTTAAATTTTTGTTTTTCATATTATATCAAATGGGTTATTTTTAGCTCTACTAAAAGTTCATTCTGTTGAAGAGTATTATTTCTTTTGTATTCACTAAGTATTGTTATTAATATATAATTTAAGAACTATAATTAGAACTAAGAGATAAAGTAAAATTCATTTTAATAAATAAATTACATAAAACAGTTTTTTATTAAGTTAGGACTAGAAGGACCTATAGAATATATTTCTTTAAAACACAAAAGTAATTAAGAAAGATAATAAGTGTTTATGATTCTCAAAACTTTGTTCCACAAATTTTTCATATGGAACTGTTATAGCCAAGTGTTACCAAAAAAAGATGAAGGCCTTAAGGCCCAATTCCAGAATTTACTTACTACGTCAAGATTTCAATGAGAAAACAATATAGATAATTCTATGGAAGTTAATATTTAACTTGTTTTCACTTTAAATGGAGTTGTATGAGTGTTTCGCACTCTAGGATAACATTACATACATTATAAAAATAAAAATTTAGCTAGAGTAACAGAATTATGTACTAAGAAAACAAAGAATTAAAAATCAAGAGCTGCTGGGTACCAGGCTCCATGTCTGTAATTCTTGCTTCTTGGGAAGCTGAGATATTGAGAATCGAGGTTTGAGGCCAGCCTGGGCAAATAGTTCACAAGATTCCATCTCCAAAATAACCAGAGTGAAATGGACTGGAGATGTGGCTCAAGTGGTGGAGTGCATGCTTTGCAAGTGTGAAGCCCTGAGTTAAAACCCCAGTCCCAACAACAACAAAAAAAGTGCTTTTTAATTTACATTTAGCTAAACAAAGAAATTCAGAAAAATTTACCTACAAATTCCATTTAATGACTGTCTTGCTTAGGATTTGATACTTTACTTGAGGACACTGCTGCCAAAAGTCCACTTACAATTTCCCGTCTAATTTCCCCAACAATAGACTCTTTAATCTGTAATACAGGAAAAGAAAAATAACATTTAACAATGACAGTAATTCATTTTTTTGTTGTTTTCAGAAAACCATACATTGCATTTAGCTCCTGCAATCAGCTAAGCCAGAGAAAACTACAACCTTCATGTGACCCTCCATATGACACAAAATGGTAGTGGAAAATCAAATCCACCCATCTGTCCTCAAACCAAGAACAGACTGTGAGGTCTGGTCTAACATAACTCAGCTAACTGCATCATAAAACGTCACAATTTCTGCTAGGTGCTGGTGACCATGCCTGTAATTCTAGCTACTCAGAAGCAGAGATCAGAAGAATCAAAGTTCAAAGCTAGCCTGGTCAAATAGTTTGTGAGATCCTATCTTGGAAAAAACCTATCATGGAAAAGAGCTGGTGGAGTGGCTCAAGGTGTAGGCTGAGTTCAAGCACCAGTACCTCAATAAAAAAAAAAAATAGTAATTCCTAGGTTGAGAATTTCATAAAGTGTTATTTCATAGATTGCAAAACTATTAGTAAGTAACTTAATTCATGACAAAAAGTTTCCTGGAAGGACTAGTTATATGTGAGATTTGCGTTCATGTTTTTTATTGACGTCTGCCTCTGTAAGGTAGTCAACAGAGTAAGTGCTCTCACTGCTAAATAAAATCAGTTAGTGGCAAATGACTTACAGATATTAACTATTATCAACAGAAGGGGCAAAATACCTAGAGAAGTTTACATTAGTCTAACCTAAAATGCAAATTTTAAATGGAAAAGGAAAATTATTATTTAATAAAATGTATGTTAAAACACATACACACACACAAAAATCATCAGAACAACCTTAAACTCTAAAGGAATGAATTTTTCTTTAGTGTTATAGTATAAACCTCTCCTGTCCTGCTTCAGATAGGGAAATACATCTAACTTTATTGTTGAAAAGGGCAAACGGACCTGGGGCAATGACAATTTCAATTAGGATTTTCTTCTCCAGATGTCTCAATACTACATAAGCCTAGCCTCTCCTTTTCTTTCTAATGATACAGCACTGCCTCCAAATAACCCTTTCTGAAGACTTTAAATGTGCATTTCCTGAAGTAAACTGATAATGCCTTCCAAAATTAGCACTTGAGACACTCTCAAACTAGCTATTAAAAATTCTCCATTTCCACAGTTTCCTGTCAGCCTAATCTATTTCCTACAATGTTCCTAAGTACATCCTGAACACATCTCAATTGAAGTCTTTCCAAAAATGATTCTGTATTAATCTGTCATATAAAACTGGTACATAATACATAGACTCATAGTTATTCATAAAAAGAACATTCCTTTGCTATCAACCAACCATCTGTACTGGCATATATTTAAACAAGTATAAGCTTTTCAGTTTAACTTCTACTGATATTCCTAATCTTTAAACAACATCAAAAGTTTCTGAAGATCATACTACTTCAGATTCATTTTTAAAATGAATTTATGTATTAGACATAAATATGAAAATCAAAATATCTTAGCCACAGTATATAAGCACAAATACAATGTGTGGAACCAGAACCACTGCAAATTTATGTTTATCAGAAAATGAATAGTATAGTCTTTCCAGTTTGGTTGTCAATACAATATGCAATTTCATTATATCTCTTTATCATCATCATCTAAAAAACAAACTAGCCAAAAATCTATGCCTTTTTGTTTAACAAAACATAATAGAGTCTCTAAGAGCCAGGCATGGTGGTACACACCTACAGTCCCAGCTACTCAGGAGGCTGAGACAAAGGATCACTTGAGTCCAGGATTTCAGGTCATCCTGGGCAACACGGCAAGACCCTGTCTCAAAAACAAAGCAAGACATACAAAAAAAGAATCTCTGTTGTCAAATATGAAAATATTCACAGAAAAATAATTTTATTACTTTAATAATGACCTAACAGAATAAATTTTTAATTTTGAAAACAAGAAACTAGCATGGGTTAGAACAGGAAAAATTAAAATTCTCAGAAAACGGCAGACCTTCAAATAACAGGACATGCAATCTAAGAACAATGTTACATGATAGTGAATATAAAAAACTGCAACAAGACCATCTTGGATGAGAAAAGTATAGAATGCAGACTGACTGACAAGGAAATAAGTAGAGAGAAGGAGGCCAAGTGGAAAGTGTGCTGTGAACACTTATCAATGTATGTGAGCACAAAGTAAGCACTCAATAAATGTCTGAATGAGCAAAAGAACCTAAGAGTGAAAAAGACAAAATCAGAAACAAAGAGAAAGCAGAAAGATAAATAACCTAGCACTAAAGACAATGTCTTTAATAATTTATCTTACAAAAAAACGTATGGATAAATAAGCTAAAGACTGCATGTAATTATCCCCTCTTTTCTAAAGTCTCCCATGCTACAGAGAGATTGGAAGGAACAGAGTGAGAAACTAATAGGATGAAAGGCAAGATTACCTTTCTGAGCATAACTTCCAAAACACAGTATAGGCTAAAGACAGACTTCTTGAGATGATCTTAATCTCATTCTCAGGAATGTTTCCTGGCAATCCTGACTACAAGTTTGAAGAATGGGGCAACACATCCATTTAATATGTATCTACTGTCTACTGCACAGCAATCATTATTTCAAGTGATCTCTAAAAGAAGTTTCAATAGGAATACATGGCAAGTTCTGTTTTTACCAAAATACATGACGGCAGATGTAAATCAAGCCTAGGAACTTCAATAAACATGGAACTTTCTAAACATATGGCAATTCATGTTTGTTCTCTGACATTTAATTCTATTGAATTTGTTTCTCTGAACATATGTTCCTTCATCCTATTATGTCATCTTTTTATTTATAAACATATATACTTTTTAAAAATAACTATAAAGTTTCAAGGCCACTGATCATATATATCACAGATGACTCAGGCAAATTATAACACAGGACTTATTTCCGACTACACACGTGTACACAATTTGGGCAGAAAAGGGGTATTTTTAATCTGTTTAGTTTATTCACTGAAAACATGTGTTAAATATTTGCCAGAAAGGACTTTGTTTCTATGCTCCCCTTCCAAAGAGTAATTCTACTGTATTAACACATTATAAACAAAAACATTCTTTTAAAAAAACTTCACATATGGTGCAATGATGTAAACAAAGGCCTGACAGGCATCATTGTTTTCATGCACCCAGGAGTGCAGTAAGAAAACTTCCCTGAAATTGCCTGCCAAACATGCTTAAGCCTCACCTACAAAACTGTTCAACCCAAGAGTAAATCTTGCTTTCTGAATGGTGGCTTTGTCAATGGGACTAAAGAACTCAGAATTTGGACAAATTTAATTTGCTTCATAGCTGATACAATAAGCTTATAATTTGGAATTTAGTAATAAGTACATTTATGTAAAGAGATTACCAATTAGAAGTAAGTAGAATTATGAGTAATCTGAATTTTAAACATTTTATCAACAAACTTTGTAAAAGACCATTGTAACAGCTAAAATGATAGTAACGCAATTATTTTTCATTATAACCATTATTAGACTAATTTATCTATTAGTATATGCTTTTAAAGCACTTCAAAGGAGTGTGTTTTCTTAAGTACATCAGTATTTCTCTTCTGCCTTGCTTGATCTGCAGATTTTGCTTGGCAAGCCCTTCTCTGTAGATAAGAGTAAATGTTAAGCCTAACTTCCTCCAAACTATGCCAAATCAGAACTAAGGAGTTTCTATAGTTAATGGGTTTAGTAGCAAATTTTGAAAAATACTTAAAATATTTGCCTTGCATGCCATTTTAAATATCTGCAAGGTATAAAATATTTCATATTTAATGGGAGGTTCTTATAAATGATTATCTCTCTAGGACCAAAGCAGCATAACTGGAACAAATGACTTTCTATGATATGTGCTGTGGGCCAAAGAATCAATGTTCTGGCCTAAAGGGAATGCTTTATTCTTAGGAAATTACTGTCAACACATATCTGATCATTGTGATCATAAAAATGAGGACCTGAGTGTGCAGTAAGGGAGTACTTGTGCCAAATGATCAACATAAACTTTTCAAAAAAGCTTTCAAACCAAAGCAAGTTAAAGGGAACGAGAATATCATATTTCTCTTTTAAAAAAAAAAGTTAACTTAAAACCTACTATAACCAAATGCAGTGCGATGGAGAAAAATGACTTAATTTCACTCAAAAACTGATCTCAGATGTAAAATGTAATAGGAATCACAGGTACAACTAATTTAGTAAGTTGGGTGTACAGTTGCTAAACCTTAGCCAGCTGCAATTAACTTATTTATAAAAATAATTACATTTGTAGAACAAACAAGTTTATAGAATTAAGACCTTTCATATTTTTAGTTGGAAGAGTCAGGTCATGGAAATAAATGAAAAAACACTCGTCTTTAAAATGTGAATTTGTTTCAACAAGGCTGAAATACTAGGAAACAACTAGGTGAACACAGATAATTGCACTCAGCTGAACCTAGAAACCCAGTACCTCAAATGCACACAACTTAAACGTCTATCAGCAAACTGTGTATGAGCCACACCTACCCACATCTGGCATTAAAACTTTCTGCAGATTTCCGATCATCATACCTCTAGTCCTTCACACAGAAACTCATCAACTATGATCCTTCCAAAGCCCAATTCCACATGCAAACTTCAAGTTTTTTTTAAAGTAAAATAGTATCTTATTGTAGTACTTATGTACATTTCTTAAGTATTTAAAATAAAAGTTTGCTAAAGGTTTGGCTAGGTTTCCATCTTTTGTCTTTTCTAAATGTCATGGATGGAGTCTTGAGTGTTATGCCTCTAACTTTACTTTCCCTACAAGCCTCTGGTGCACAAGTTTGTATAGCACAGAAGCACACATACCATCTGCAAGTGTACAGCAGAACTGACCACTTACTTTTAAAGTACTTCCAAGCTACTGTCATGCAGTTGTAAATGATGGCATCTTGAATGTAGATGAACATACTTCTGGACCCAGAGGATCAACTACCCACTTAAGGGAAATTCTGGTCTGCTGTCACCATTTCTGACCTCTAACCACTAGAAATCTATGTTACAAATTAATTCTCAAAACACATTAAGTTCATATTACTAACTATATTGGAAACACACAGTTTAAAAACAGCAGCCACTGACTCTGATTTCTCTGGTTAATTTTGACCTTTCCTATTTTTAAACTCTTAGTTCCTGAATACAGACTGGGAATCTGAATGCTTGAGATGAGAAATAATTCAAATTTCAAGATTTCTGGATTTTGAAACAATTGTATATACTTAAAAGGCTGAGCATCCCTAATCCAAAATTTGAAATGGTCTGAAACCTGATTTTTTTTTTAAGACAGGGTCTCATTCTGTATTGCAGGTTAACCTTGAACTTGGATCTGACTATCTCAGTCTCGTGAGTTCTGAGATTATAAGCATGTCTCAGGATTATAGGTGCAAGCTGTGACACTCAGCCAAAATTTGTTTTTAACCTCTGTGGTGCTGGGGTTCAAATAAGAGCCTGTACATGCTAGCTAGACAAGTGCTCTACCACCCAGTGACCCTAGCCCCTGATACCAGAAACTTTTTGAGAGATCTGCTAAATACTTTTCTGTGCTAATTTTCAATGCCTCTTGAGTTAGTCTTGTTTTCCTTCCTATCAAACTTTAAACATAAGGATTTTGTGTCTTTTACCCTTCATATGGAAGATTCTTAAACACGTACAAAGTTTTTCTTTTGTTCTTGCTTTTAGCACTGCTGGGGTTCAAACCCCGGGCCTCACACATGATAAGTGTGACCCTTTGTTGCTGAGCTATAGCCCAAGCCCCTATAATGATTTTATTTTAGTGTACAGATACTCTTTTTAACTAATGGAAAGAAGGAGAGATCTTTCTTATCTGGGGTTTTAGGATCTTGGCTAGAAAAACTATGGATAGTATAGTTCTTCCTTATTGTTATTCTTAAGAATTCTTTTTTCCTTTTTTCTTTAAAAAAAATGGAGCCTCATCATAACATTAGATAAGAAAACAGATGGGAAAAATATTCAACAAGTATTTTTAATCTGTGCACTCTATTACGTTTTGCAAGCAAACGAACAGTGTGACTTGAGGAGAAAAAAGCTATCACAAAAGTAGATCTATGGAGCTCTACCCTTTAAAATGATAAATACTATTTCTTCTTACTAACTTAATTCAAATGCTAAAAACAGTGTTGTGGTTTAGATCTGAAATGGTCCCCAAAGTCTTGTGTGTTCAAGGCTTATGTATTCTGAACATTGAATACAGCAATGTTCAGAGGTGGGCCTTTTGGAAAGTGACTGAATCATGAGGGCTCTGATCTCAGCAACTGATTAACCCAATGATGGGTTCAAGATTTCATTGGCTATTGGGAGGTGACAGAAACTTAGGAGGTAAGACCTAGTTGAAAGGGGTGGATCCTTGAAGGGATGTCCTTAGGGGCTGTATTTTGTTCTGCACCTTCCTTCAGCTTCCCTGAGACAGCAGCTCTGTTCTACCATGTCCTCTCTGTCACTGGCATGATGCTCTGCCTCACCATAGGCCCAGAAACAATGGAGCCAAGTGATGAGGACTGAAACCTATGAAACCATGAACCAACATAAATCTTTCTTCAAGTTGTTTTTCTCAAATATTTTGTTAGTGATGTAAAACTAACACAAACACTTATTATACAAATTTTCTCAATTACCCTTTGACTACTAGCCTTTGTAGTAACATTTTTGTAGTCCTTTTGGTAACCTAACTGTAGTAATGCTTCAGGTCCTCATGCTGTTACCATCCAGATCTTTTCATACTGCATTTCAATCTATTCATAAAATTTCCACATTCCACCTACCAAAGCAAATAGATCAAGCTCTCTATATTTATTAATAACACAACACCATTTTCTCTTGTCAACTGAAATTACAAAATGGTAGCTTTTAATCTTGGAAGAGATTTAAATTGTAATTCCTTCTTTTACACATGTGGAAATGAGACCAAAAAGTCTGTTACATGTTTACCTACTTCAAACTCTACAAATACTTTTTTCTCCAGAGCAAATGTAAAAAGTTGCAATTATTTTACATTGAAGTATGAAATCTGCAGAAATGTCATTATAAAAATATTTTAATAGATAGGAAGTAGACCAATGGGAAAGTTCACTTAAAAGCTCTTTGAAAATTAATACAGTGACTCAAAAAGATTATCTTATAAATAACTGATGTTCAAATAAAATCTCCTGTAACACACATCTGCAAATAAACAAAGTTAGCAGGTTTTACTCACCTCCCGTATGACTTGCTGCAATTCATCCTGCTCCACATTTCTATGTATTTCTTCAGCAGCAGGCATCAGTGAGAGATTTCCTCGCCCCTCTTCTACTTCCGATTTAGGGACCATAACCTGTGAGGTTTCTTCAGCTGCTCCAACTTCCTCAGAGCTTTCCACATCTGGAGGTGTCTGCACAGATCCTATTCTAGAAGGAGCAGTTGGCGTCAGGGCCACAGATGCTCGGAATACTTTCTTTCTTGCCACTAATGGGACTCTGGGTTTGCCCCCTGAGTCACCAGAAGGCACTCCAGTTCTTCTGTGGGCATGAGAGGGACCAGAACATACAGAAGATGACTCTGAGGTTGCATGGGAGAAAACAGATTCTGAGCTCTCTCCAGGAGGAATTCCAAATCCCATTTCTCCAAGTCCCAGGCCCAATTCAGATTTCAGGTATGACTGTTCTCGCATCAGTTCAGTGACCTGGAGGTCGGAAATACTGTTATTCTTTTCTTTCGAAATTAAGGTTGGTTAAGAAAGAAGATTAAGTTCCTAGCTGTGATTATTGCCAAAAATCATAAAACTTGCAAAGACATAATTCATTAATTCATAATTTATAAAGTATAAATTCATACTTCATTAATTTAGTAACTACTTTGTATCAGTCACAAAAGCAGCCAACTTAAATTCAGAGTAAGCTGAAGCAAAAAAATAGGTAACTAGAGCACATAATGGGATGTAATTTTACTTGTTACCACACAGGTGTTCAAATTATCTTCAAGGAAGAATAACTAATGAAAAACAAAATAGTTATTCATAATGTTTTGCCCTCAAATTAACCAATTTGTCTAAAATATAATAAAATCAGGCTTTTGTTCAAAATGTAGTCATTTTCCAGATCTAAAGGATCTGGGCTAGGGTAATGAAAGGACACTCTCCCTGGAGTATAATTTATTTTTTAGTGGATTATCTCCTTTAGGTCATAAAGATAAACTACTCTGCAATTAAGCTGGCTTTCTAGTGGTCTAAGATGGCAATGGACTTCAGAAGTGGCAATCTCACCTCTAATGAAATTAATTACCCTACCAAATTCTACATTTAAAACAAACATACACTTCATCCAAAGTAGGAAAATTGCATATTTATGAGATGTTACATCATTTCTTTCCCCAGTGACTTAAAAAAAGAGAGGCTTACTGGTTCCATTACATTCAGTGGAGAAGGGCATGACAAGTTATCAGCGCTTCTGCTACCACACATTCCCTGAAAAGGTAAGGACAAAGTAGTTATATATATGTAGTATACATTTTCTCATATTGAAGTGTTTTATAATAAAATGAATTGGCTATGTACTGCCCTGAAACACTGCTGAATGTCATAAAGCTCATGTTCAATTGTCAGGGAATTCTAGAAAAATGGGTCATTGTGACTGAAATCTGAGACCACAGAATGCGCACAGGAGATATAATGATTCTCTGCTCACAGCACCACACATTCCTAAGAATGACTGATCAAAATATAGAAGAACATATTCATTAATGACATAGAATACTCTTATTCTGTTATACGTATGTGTGTTCACACAAACCTTTTTCTACTCCATGTATGTTCACATGTATGTGCTGTATACACCTATCCATTTTTAATAATATCAAACACAATGTGAAAATACACAAAAATTCAAAAGCTCAATACAATATATTCTACAACCTGAAAAATACTGACAAAAATAAGAATATGATGTTGAAGTTCAAATTTCATAGAAAGGAACATTAGAAATAATGAAACATACAAAATAAAGACAAGAAGTGTTTCTTTTCTAAGTTTTCTGAGCTAGGATCTCACTATGTAGCCCAGGGTGGCCGTAACAAACTTTCAATCCTCCTGCCTGTCTCTTTAAGAGAGAGATAAAGACTGTGACACAGGTTACTCCAGGCACCTGCACACCCATGTTTATTGGGCACTATTCACAATAGCCAAGTTATGGAAACAGCCAAGATGCCCCACCACTGATGAATGGATTAAGAAAATGTGGTATCTATACACAATGGAATTCTATGCAGCCATGAAGAAGAACGAAATGTTATCATTGCTGTAAATGGATGGAATTGGAGAATTCATTCTGAGTGAGGTTAGCCTGGCTCAAAAACCAAAAAATCGTATGTTCTCCCTCATATTGGGACATTAGATCAAGGGCAAACCACAACAAGGGATTGGACTATGAGCACATGATAAAAAGCGAGAGCACACCAAGGGAGGGGTGAGGATAGGTAAGACACCTAAAAAACTAGCTAAGCATTGTTGCCCTTACGCAGAGAAACTAAAGCAGATACTTTAAAAGCAAACTGAGGCCAATAGGAAAAGGGGAACAGGTACTAGAGAAAAGGTTAGATCAAAAAGAATTAACCTAGAAGGTAACACCCACGCACAGGAAATCAATGTGAGTCAATGCCCTGTATAGCTATCCTTATCTCAACCAGCAAAAACCCTTGTTCCTTCCCTATATTGCTTATACTCTCTCTACAACAAAATTAGAAATAAGGGCAAAATAGTTTCTGCTGGGTATTGGGGGGGGAAGGGAGGGGGCGGAGTGGGTGGTAAGGGAGGGGGTGGGGGCAGGGAGGAGAAATGAACCAAGCCTTGTATGCACATATGAATAATAAAAGAAAAATGAAAAAAAAAAAAAGAACTGCGTGCTGGAGGCCTATGATCCTAGCTATTCAGGAGGCAGAGATCAGGAGGACAGCAGTTTGAAGACAGTCCAGGCAAATAGTTCGAGACCCAATCCTGAAAAAAAAAAAATCACAAAAAAGGGTTGATGGAGTGGCTCAAGGTATAGGCCCTGAGATCAAATCCCAGCACTGCAGAAAAAAAAGAATGGAAAAGAATTAAAAATAAAGGAAAAGTTTAAAGGGAACAGTATTTAAATATACAAAAATGGGGAGAAGGAGTAGTATGATCTCCGTTCTTTGGAGCTATATTCAGTGATTCAAATTTTAATTAGTCATACTTTAATTCTCTATAATTTTCTTTTAAAAATCTAACTTTTGTATTGACCTTTATTTCTTCTTATTATCAAAAATTATCAATAGGGCTGGAGGTGTGGCTCAAGCAGTAAAGCATCTGCCTAGCAAGCTCAAAGCCCTGAGTTCAAACCCCAGTGACAGCAAAATCATTAAAATTTTTCAACATATTTCTAAATATATTAAATACTTAAATATTATCACTGTACATAAAACTAATATCTGGAAAAGCTCCTTAAACATTATTCATGTTTCTAATGTCATTAAAACAAATGGTTTAAAATGAAGGTACCTGTCTTAAATTACATGGAACATTACAAATAAACCTAGTAAAAATGCCCAATGTCCCAAGCTTGTGTACCACAAGTGCTGCAGAACGGAAGGGTGAAGGAGCCCGCACAGCCCGAAGCTGCTCGTCCAGGCCCAGGAGACGCTCCTCCAGCTGTATCTCCAAATCCTGCAGCTCCATTCGGACAGAATTTCTCAGACTCTGTAGCTGATCAGCTTCATACCTATCAGTATGACGACAGGCACAAAGTTTGAAAAAAGTAATTTGAGAGTTACCATCTCAACAATTCTGACAACTATTCTAAGCTAACACAAAGTACTGAATTGCAAATTTCCTAAATTCTCACAGTAGGAATTACAAGAGGTGTAACCACTAGGACAATGGTCTCTGATCCTCTATCTTCTCTATACCATCCAGTGAAAAGCAAACCACAACCACCATCTTCTTCAATACACTGAAGCAGAGAAGGTAACTTCATAAAACACTCTGTATGCCTACTTCTTATCTAACTGGTTCACAAAACACACACAAGGTACATAGTAGAAGAAATAAAACCTAGTTTTTAAAAATATAAGTTGAAAAATGCTTCTTTGTGGAGTTGATGTAACTCCAAGTTATATCAATACAAAAAGTGCTTTTACCTTTCCTCCTCAGTCATATGATGATAAACCATGGTTTGCTGACGCAGCATTGCCAGCTCTAAATCCATCATTTGTGTTCTAAACAAATTTAGGCTCCTCCTCATTACTTGAAGCTCCTGAAAAGTATTCTAAAATGCAGTATCACAAAATTATATTTCTAAAACATACAAATTATTTTGTAGCACAAAGATTTAAGAGGGAACTTACTTCATAAAGAGGTAGAACAGATGATTTTGGAGTACTATATGCAGCAGCAGCAAGATCAGGTCCTCTCATCATAGGGTACTTCAAATGAATGAAAGCAGCATTAAAAAACAACGTCAAGGTGACTACCTCCATGTTCTCTGAGATGTAAAGGCAGAATTTCAGGTAAAACCAAGCCAAACTCTGTACTGTATGCATAAACAAAGGAAATCAGTCCCAATGCTACCTATTATCTTAGCTATTCCAGGTACAAGTCAATCTGTTTGGGAAGAGGAAAAGGTGAAGGAGTATACAGAGTTCATATCTATGTTTGACAGGATCTTCTTCTTGCCTTGAGAAAGTAAAAAGCAAAAATGAATCTCAGAAATGTAGAAGCAATTGCAAATATCATCATGAGATTACAGTAACTACTGATGTGGCTACAAAGAGTAGCAAGTAACAGCCTTTAACATTTGAGCATCTGCTATATGCCACAACTTTAGGCAGTGAAAAGGCATCATCACCTTCAAATGTATAAGGAAGAAAACAGGAAATGCTAAACAAATACAATAGAGGGAGTGCTATGATGGAAATAAACAAAAACATTCAGATTAGATAAGTGTGCCCAAAAGTGTTGACACCTGAGCTGAACCTCAACAGTAACCAAAGTAGAACTTAGTCATGCAAAGAAAGGTCAGGGCTACAAAGTGGTATGTACAGATTACCAGGAACACACAACTATTTACTTAAAGACTTGCAAAAAACAAATGAAACAAAACAACACCACCTCAACCCACACAACTGACATGCGCATATCTCCCAAAAAGCACAACTTTTGAGAACCATGCATGCAGTCCTGCAATCCAATTTTACTGGATCACACACTAAGCATGGAGACTGGGAAGAGCATCTGTCTAATGAGGTACAATGGGGTCGGAAGATTTACCAACAGTTACTAGAGGGACACAGAAGATGAAGACACCAAGCTCAAGCAGTACAAGTCAGTATAGAAAGGTGCACCACAATAGGTGCAGGTAGACAAGGCTCTGGAAATCCCCAGCTTCACATAATTATAGCGAAAAGTTAACTATCACAGTCATAGCTAGAATTCTGTTTCATGAGAAGGAGGAAGAAGCATGCACATTCTGGTTAGACTGTAAACCATTAGGAGACAACTGTCAGAAGATAAAACCAATGTTTAAAAGAATGTATACCTTAGTATGACTTGAAGTCACAACTTTGATTTTTACTTTCAAAATGGCTCACTGCCTACTATTTCATGATGATAAGAGATCACAAACATTCTAAATTCACACTTTACCTGATTCTTTCTCTCTTTTGGAGTAGTTCCAGTCTTTGAACCCATGGAAGTAGACTAATTCTGTACCAGGAAGCCAGCATCAGAGGTCAGTGGGTGAAGAGGAAAGCTTAGTCACAGAGCTACAAGCAAAACCAGGAAAATATGGTGCCACTGAAGACAATGGGAAGAAAACTTAGGAAAGGAAGAGGTGGTCAGCATGTCCAAATGGTAGAGAAAAGAAAGGACTTTGAGAGGGAAGATGTTTTTAATAATAGGGACAAATTAAAGTTTATAGACTAAGACAAAGAAAATGAGGACAGGTTAAAAAAGGGAGAATACCTATTGATCAAAATCCCTGATCTAGGAAGGGAATTCTGAGCACAGAAGTTAATTCTGTTCAGTATTAGTTATAGCTTTTCCCCATAAAAGAGGGAAAAATATAAGAGAAGGGCATGAAGAAAATAAAGTTGAGGTAACTCATGCCTGATGGATTTTAGTTAATTAAAAAATGCTCAAAGCAATACAATAAAAGTTTTAAAAAGTCACCTTTTTCTCATACCTGTGAAAGGTTCTGCAGTGAGTTTCTAATATCATGCAAGACTCTTCGCAACTGCATTTCTATGGCAGAAGGAGGATTCACAGAGCATGCTCGGTAAGGGGAGGCAGCATGTCTATGTGAGTAAGGACATCCAAATGGGGTAGTGAAGGCACTACAGGTAGCACCTGACATATTGGGAACGCTGTGAGTGCTCAGAGTTCTCGTGTGCTCACACAAGGGCCTTTCCTGCCACTCAGAGTGGACAGAGTGCAGGGAGCAGGTGGACTGAGACATTGGTGCCGGAGCACACTGTGGACAGGCAGCAGTCCTTCCATGATGGCATTCTTCCAAATGTGTCACTTCAGTCTGGGGGGCTTCTTCTTTCTTCAAAGACAATGGAGAGATGAAAATGGTGGATTTAACTAAAGACTGACCATCATGCTCAGTCACCCCCTTTTCCAATTCCTGTTCTTCAGGTGTGTACTTATAGGTGAAGGAAGGTGGGCTGCATCTGGTCTCTTTTCCTGGAGATAACCGGACATTGACCGAGGATACTACCCTTACTGGGCTCAATAAGGTGGTTGGCAAAGACTGAGATCTTCTTAGAGGATAGCCAGCTTTTGCAAGTAAGTACCTTGGTTTTAAGAGATCTTTTGATTTTATCAAGCTACGCCCTACTCTTTGATTAGACAGACTGCAGACTTTCATTTGAGCTCTTTGCAAAGCTATATTAACTCTGTCCACAGAAGAGGGAGACCCGGGTGTATTTTCAGAGCTCATGACGTTACATTTGGCTTCAATAGAAGCCAATGATTTCAGAATATGGTGTGTGGTATACTGGGCAAACTCACATTCGCTGCTTTTATCCATATCACTTTCCCCACTTGCTTCCTTTGGAAGCTCTACTGTCTGTGCCAGGGACAAATCCTCATCCACTTCAGTAATTTTAGTAATGTGATCCACTGAACTATGGGTGGGACGTTGGTTTTCTGTATTTTCCACAGTCTCGCATTCAGGGAAATCCTGGCTATCTGACTTTCTTTTGTCAGCATTTGTTGCTGCCTTTGTTCTTCCTTTCTGAGGAGGGGTGAGAGACTCCTCTTCTGACTCATTAAAATAAGGCTGGTCTTGAGCAGTTGGTGTAACAAGGTCTTCACCAAATGATGTGACTGTTGTTTCACTATCACAACTATCAGCACTACTCCCCATGGCTTGCAGGGACTCATGAACCTGCAAAAAAAGGAAACAGAACAAGTGGGAAGACAAAGAATAAAAGAGTTATTATTAAGAAATACCAAATAAGTATGATGCTTTTACGGTCTCTGACCCTGGGTGTGACCTTGGTGTCACTCAAAATGGTTAACTGCCCTTTACTAGCAACCATGACCTCCTTCTTCCCACTTTCTCACAAAGATTATCACAAATCTTTTATTTTCCTCAAATTCCCTTTCCAACACCTTTTTCCTCTGACACATGACATATATCACTGACTTGAAGAGAAAATGGACCAAAAGTTCATCATATTCTTCTCCAGCACCTACAAACTTCTCTGTCATTACCCATCACTACCTCCTCTTCATTTGGAAAGAAAATCATATCCTATTTTCAAAGTTAATTCCACCAACCTGTGCTCCTGACCATACCTTCCCCAGGACCAGGATGTTTCTCTAGTTTCATCCCATTTTTTTCTGCATCAAACTCTCTTCCCTTAGCTGTACAACTTCCCTAAGTCATTCCCATGCTAAAACCTCTTGCTGGTATGCTGCCATTTTCATTTGAGAACACAGTCACCACGTCTACCTCTCTTCCTCAATCAATTTACTCTCCAGTTGTGCTTTGCTTCATTTATTCCATCACCAATGCTCTCTCCTGAGTCAGTCTCCTAAAAGCCTCAATCTCAGCTGCTTACTCGATGGCTGTAAATATTTTTCTTGAGGTCTCTCCATCTCCAAATTTATCTGTCTACTTGATTATTACTACTGCATCTCCTTACACCTATCTCTTTGGCTGTTCTTCCTTTAGGTGCTATGTTACTAGTAAGTGCTTTTGGGGTTCTCTGCTTCTCATTCCAATTTTGAAACTTGCGTAAAGACAGTTTAAGTGCTTTTCTTGTTCATTCTGTGACTCCACATATAGACTATAAGCTCCTCAAGAATAAAGATATACCTGTTTTCTAGGTTATCTAGCATAAATGTCAATATAACATTCAGCAAGCTATGGATGCACACTTAATGTCAGTTATTAAATAAGCAATGTAATCCTAGCTAATTAGGAGGCACAGATAAGGATTAGTTTGAAGCCAGCCCCAGCAAAAAGTTAGTGAGACCCCCATTTAGATCAATAAGCCAGGTGTGGTAGTTCACACCTATAATCCCAGCTACATGGGAGGCATAGGAAAAAAGATTTTGGTCCAAGGTGAGCCCCAGGGCAAAAACTTGAGATCCTATTGAGAAAAAAAAAAAACTATAGTAAAAAGGGCTGGGAGCATGGCTCAAGTGGTAGAGTGCCTTCCTGGCAAGCACAAGGCCCTGTGTTGCTCAGTACTAAAAAAAAAAAAGCAAAATAATTATTGTAAAATACTGAAAAATAATGATGGCAGAAAAATAACAGATCAAGAAGGTTATCAAAATAATCTTTACTGATGGTTCAAAATTAAGGAGAAGCTTATTTAATAATTAAGAGAGATGAAGAATTAGAGAAACCTAAAAGAATTATTCTTGTTACTTTGAAAAATAAAGCATAGACAAATTCAGCCTTGAAATACATAATATTAAAAATTACTTTAAGATGAAGAAGTTAAGGACAGTGCCCATGAGAGTAGAAAATTTACCTGCAGATGATTCAGGGAGAGGCAGTCTGCAGAATCTTCACCAAACCCACTGCTATCTGAATGCTGACTCGCAGTACGTAACAGATGATCTATCAGTAAAAACGTGTAGTTATGTAAAACCACTACAGAAGGCTTCAATGAGAACAATGTTATTACAGCTATGATGTCCAACAGACAGAAGATACAGCACTGATTCCTTCTCACAAAAGTATGCATTACTTAGGCAAAACTGGGGCTTCAAAGCATAGGAGGTAACTGAAGTTCAAACAAAAACTGAATGAATTATAGTTTTCTATCAGAAATTTTTGAGTACTCAGTTGCTAATTAAGTTCTATAATTAGAAATTTGGTAAAAAATGTCTTATTCTTAAAGGACAAGTGTCTGAAATAAAAGATGGCTCTAATAAACATAGAGGTACCAAAGTAAACCATTTACAATAGGTAAATAAGATATTCAGGAAGTGAAACTAGAAGTTTAAGTGCAGAATATATAAAAATTTCTATACCTTCCTATTAAGAAAAAAATTAAGGCCAATAAATTAATTGAAATGCAAGACTACTTAAACATCTGTATGCTCAAAACTTGTAAATATCTTGTTATAAAACAATTATTTAATAATTCCATGAAAGTCAATTAGACTCAATTAATACATAACATTGTTAATCTTATAAAAATCCTTCTGTTAATTTTTCTGCCATAGTACTCCAATTTTTGGTTAACCAAAAAAATGCTTTAAATAAGTAAAAAGGCAAACTAAGTACACCAAGAATGATCACATTCCATCCACACTACTAGTACCACATGGGACACTTTACAGTTATTTAATAAGGGAATGAGTTATAAGACAGCAGGATTCTGCAGAACTTCCAAAGCAACAGGCTAAATAAAGTGTGTTTACCAATTCCACATTTCACTTAAGATCTGAAACATACAGAGAAAGAACTAGATGATATGACTGAATAAAATCCCCAAAGTTTGCTTGATTTGGAAAAAGAGCTCATGGTAGCCTCAGGTCTGACTTTTTTTCCATTAAAATTTTAGAATAATTCTGTAATATTATTGTGATAATAAAACTACATGATTAAATGTAAGGTATTATTCCATGTCTGTGACAAACCTAGATGAACTGGAATAATTATGAAACTAAGTAGTAATAAGTTGTTACTATCAGCACTGATTAGGAACTATTATTAACTAGAAGATGATTGACACCTTATGTCATACCAGTTGTCCCTGTAATTATGTTTCCCATGTTTTTTGTTTTTTTTTAAAGAACTAGATTATGAGCTTTTTAAGGCAGGAATTTTATTCTTCATATTCCAGTACCAAGAGCAAGCTGATAATGAATAATGTTTACTGAGTGAAATCAATAACTATTTCCTTAAAGCAACAACAGAATACAACAGTCATATAAATGATTTAGAAGTGAAAGTGCCTATCTGCTCGGGCAAAGCACACTTGCCAGACAGTCCACGGAAGCTGGGCTGACCAGGCTGGACTCAGATTCCCTCTAAAATCTACTGAATCTGTAGCAAGATGAAGTTTGTGCCAGTTACCCTTGCAGATGAGCCCCCATCTAACTTCACATAGGTTGGGTGGTATTGCAGACTAAGATTTTAGAGCAGATATAGAATTCTTTCCACAGGGACGTGGGTGTGAGTTTCTGCTTTGTTTCACTGTTGCAAGTGGTAACACCTCTGCAAAATGAGATTATAATTCTTCCATCTCACAGGGTTACTTCAAAAGCTAAGCAGAATATAGATGAAACTGTTTTTGTAAACTATAAATCACACCAGGAGTGATGGTACACACTGTAACTCCAGAACTTGGGAGGCACAAGGATCTCAAGTTCACGAATAGCCTGAGCTACATAGTGCACTCCTGCCTCTAAAGTAATTAAAAAGCCCATAAACTACCATCTAGATTCTTTAGTCAGAAATTTCTGTTTCACGGAAAAAAAAAAAAACCAAAAAAATAGTTCTTTCTAGAAAAAGATGTAATTAAATTACAGGTTTAGACCTGTATCCTAAAGATACAAAATATTATTTCTAATTTAAAAGTAGGATGTTAGAGGAAGCATAAAAGAAAAAACCTAAATCTGGCAACTATCTATTCAGTACCATAAAGAAACAACATTCCCTTCTATACTAAAGAAAATATTTTATGTCTTCTGTAATAAGAAAAATATTGAACTTCTCTTGACTTATCTACCAAATGTATAATTTGGACATTAGTTGCATCACTAAATCTCTCTAGGTGTCATTAAATAAATCCCAGACTGCAACTGAGATTAAGAGAACTTTAAAAGTCCTACTACTAAAGCATTATATACATTTTATTAAACTTATGAAATGAATACATTACCAGTAACTCTAATTTTGAAATTCTGACTACTTAAGATATTACATATCGTATCAAAATTTGATACATTACCTTCCAAAATGACTGAAATATTATTATTATTCTCTGTCCCCCGCTCTCATGGAGACACACACAAACCCATTTTACTGTTAATTTACAAAAGTCAAATTCACAAAAATGTTAGCACTTTTGCTATACCACCAGAAATGAGACTCAGAATAGGTATAAAGGTATCTAATCATACCCCATCATCTTTCCCAGTACGCAGAGCTTGCTTGCTCATGAAACAACTTAAAGCAATTTTACTGGTTTTTTCAAAGTTCCTTTTGACATAAGGCAAGCTGTTTTCCCAACGTGTCCCTTTGTCTAGCCATCTAAAGCAAAGATCCCCTCGATTACCATTAACTCTTCCTTACACTCAGAAGCACATACATACATACATTTATGGACTCATAAAGGGATGGAACTTAAATATGAAACTTCATTTTGTATTGGGCTAGAACTGTAGTAACCAGTAAGAGTGGAGCTTTTATTCCTTAGTGCCACACTGCAACGAAAGAAAAATCACATGCAAACTGTCTCTTGGGAAGCAATTTTCAGAGATCAAGAGGTGACAAGCATGTAATTTCCTGTTTTAGGAACACATATATAAATCTTTGCTTGAGTTTTTTTTTAAAGGGTAATTCATCATGTGCAAGGTTTTAAAAATAAACCGTCCTACCTTCAGTGGTCATTTAACTTCTTTCTGTTTCTCTCCCTCTAAAGCTCAAAAGCTTGGTAAATTTAAAACCAGACATCTTTTCCTGGTTTCAAGTTAAAAGTGAAAGGAATGGACTCAAAGGTCCTTAGTCAATAATTAATAATTCAAGAGGAATGGTATCTACAGCCACTCACCTTTGATCCATAGCTTGAATTTATTTAACTAGGTTTAACTATTGCTGTGAGATTGGTGTTTTTTGCTAGAGGTATATCCCATGCAATATATGTATGTGTGTATATCCATATGTATTCTTTTACATATATATATATATATATATATAAATATATATACATATATATGCATGTATATATTTATGAGTGTGTGTGTATACACATAAATGTGTGTGTGTGTATATATATATGTGTGTGAGTACTATATATATATATATATATATACTCACACATATATGTTGTGTTTGAATAATGAAAATCCCAAGATGGATAACACTGCATTTTTCAGTAAAAACAATGTAAAAAGTAGCCTTAATCTACTGCTCTTGTCATCACTTCCTATCCAGCTCTTATACAGAACTAGTTAGAGCACACAAAATTGTGTGACGAGGTCATTACAGGATAAGTAAACTAGTATTAGTTGATTAGCACAAGTCTTCAAAAAATACAAAAACAATATATATAACCAAACAATGATAAGCAAGATAGTGATAAACCCCTTTTCCAAATCAACTGATACCACTTGGGAAACATGCTCAGGAACTAGTGGGTATCAGTCTACTTACCTCTTTTGGACTTGGTGAGTCCTAGCTGGTAAGTGGCAGGAACATGAGGAACTTCTCCCTCTGTGCTCTGAACCTAGAGAAGAATTTTAAGTAGTTAAAACTAAAAGAAACTATGGCAAAAAAGACTGTATCTTCCTAACTAATTAAACAAAGAAAGCTAACTAAACTACACCAAAGTATAAAGACATTTTATCTTAAAATTGTTAGAATGCTCCACAACTTATATGATCCAATTTCCAATAAGCAATAACATTCAATTTAGTAGCTAGAAAAGAAGAATAACTTTGTGTATAAACTGCTTCACTTCTAAAAAGTTGCTACAGATGAAAAACAGGCCCATATGCAGTATGTTTCTAAACCAGAACTTCAAAGTAGGCTCGACCTGAAGAAAAATGTCAATACAAGCACCAAAGCAGACTAGGGAGGATACATAGAATTGAGGCAAATTAATTATGAGTCTCATAACCATGAAAATGGAACAGCATGCTCCTTTGCAAAATTTTCCAAAATTCCACAAATTTCCAAATATCAAATGTCACTCATGTGCAAGACTGCTTTGTCCTGATATAAATGTTCTTTTAAGATATATCTTATTCTTTTTAAGAGGTTGTTAAGTGAAAAGGCAAGTTTTATCACAGTATAAGGCTGAAAGGTCTTAACAGGTCTTATTCTCCCTAAAAATTCTATTCAATGTAGGTATTAAGTCCATAAAAGTTATTTTTCTCTGCCTTTTTCCACCTGCATTACTACATCATCTAGGAATTTTCAGATTTCTAATCACCACCTCCACTCTGCAAATACTCTAACAAACTACCTCTATATCAAGATTAAACATCTGGAGGAGGGCTATACTAATTCCCATCACTTTACCACAAGGACCAGTACAAATAGTAAATAACATCCTAGAAAAGTAAGTAAACTGGCTGTCACACATGGCTTTTCAACCTAGAAAAATCAGAAAGCAAATAGGTTTCAAGTGGAACTTTGGTATGTTTGAGCTATAAATCCATGTAAGAATAAGGAATATTCCACACGAATAAGAGTAGAAAAGCCAACATGAAAAAAGCCTCCAAGTTAATATTATTACCCAATTTAAAAAATATCTGATATCTTTATTCCATATAGTTCCATGAACCCAAGTTTATGAACTTTTTACAAATCAAAAGCACAGTGATCATTTAAAGCCATCACCTATAAATCAGATATATAAATAAGTTACATCATGAAATTATATTATTCCAAGCAGCAAACACAAGTTCAACAGGAAAACCATTGTTTTGTGTGCAAAGGAACAAACTGAATTTTCTTTTTATATTTAACAAAAGGCCTATTATTAGCTGCTATTGAGGTCCAGCCTACTTCAAAGAGTTTTCTATAAAATAAAGATCAACTAGATCAAGAAAATATGATAAATCAGATCAAGAAAATATGAAACTATGATATGACTCTATTTATAGGAATCTCAGGTTAGACAGATTATGGCATACCAAATTACAACCTCTTACTTTTAAATGTAGAATTATATTTTCCATTTCCTTAGACTTATAATGAGTGTATTTAATGAACTTGTTTCCCCAGTGTATTGTCCTTCAATATGTTACTCCCTTCAGTACAAAGTCCTGCATCACTATCAAGTAAAATAAGGTCATATTTTACTAATAAAACTACTAATGTCAGGATTATTCTTCTCTCAGCAAAATCATAATAAATAATTATTGAAGACAGAATGACATGCTAGTGATAGTGAGTATATTTCTTAGCTTGTATTATTAACTGCAAAACAAAGTCAAATTCAAGATAGGTACATACACCACAGTGAATTATGAATCAAATATAGAACTCAGATTTATGTAACAGGATTTTTCTCTACTTAATGATTTCAAATGCTCAGTAGAACTCTGGTCATTTTGCTACAGCTGGTCTTTCATTAAATTTGTTAAGAATAATCAAATATAACTGAATTGAGTGATGAGAATGGCTGTTCATTACACTTTTATCTCTAGTCTCTGGATAAGTTTGAAAGTTTTCATACTAAAAATGCAAAATAACAAAATTAATTCATTCACTATTTTGGTATTTAAAGGAGCAGAATAACTCACAGAGACAACAGCCTCTTAATCGATGTCCTGTTAACATGACATCGACTTTGGTTTCTTAAAATCTGTTATATTTATCTTGACTCTAATGCATCTTCAAGGTACAATACTATGGTACTGTGTTTTCTACAACAACACATGGATGTTCTAACTCAACCCTTTCTCTAAGGTTTGTCTGACTTGGTGTTACTGGTGGATTAAACTTAGGGCCTCATCCTTGCTAGATTTGAGCCATGCCCCCAGCCCTTTTTGCTTTAGTTATTTTTCAGGTAAGGACTTGCATTTTTGCCCAAGCCTGGTTTTAGACCACAATCCTCCTATCTATAGCCTTCTGTGTAGCTGGGATCACAGGCATGTACCACCATGTCTAGCTTATTGGTTGAACTGGGGTCTCAGTAACATTTGTCCAGGCTAATCTTAAGCCTCCCAATTTCTGCCTCTGAGAAGATGGGGGTACAGGCATGAGCCACCATGCTGCCCAACCTCCTCTAAGCTTTAAAAAGACATTTATAGCTCTTGACACTGTGTGGAAAGTGTATAAAATAATTAGTTTTAGAAATTATAATTGTTTTATAAAAGAAAGCAGAAAAGATTCAAAGGAAAGCATGTTTTTGCACACCGACATACTCTGCTGATACCCCTTGCCATCCCCCTTTCTTTGAGGCACTGATGAAGTATGACATCCCTCAGAAAGATGGTAGAGAACCACTTCTGCAAAGTAACATCAAATGCTTGGGAGGAGGGAGATGCCGCTCATCTGGAAAAACACTGGAAAATTAATTCAGAGATCCCTCTCTGTACTGGTCTCTGTAATAACTTGTAAATTATCTTAAAGAAAACTTCCAAGTTTTACACACACACAGAGTTTGTTTTTACTGTCATGTAAATACTTTAGAAAGAATTAACAAACTGGGCACTGGTGGCTCACGCCTGTAATCCTAGCTACTCATGATGCAGAGATTAGGAGGATCGTGGTTTGAAGCCAGCCCTGGCAAATAGTTCATGAGACACTATCTCTAAAACACCCAACACAAAAAAGGGCTGGTGAAGTAGCTCAAGGTGTAGGCCCTGAGTTCAAGCCCAGTACCACAAATAAAAAGGAAAAAAAGAATTAACAAGGTACTTTAGATAAACAAGTATCAAAACTCAGTGGCTCTTTGGGCTGAGGTAACATATATCAGTACAGGTGTTACATGTTAAATTCATACTCTTATCCTCAAGAAACAAGGTTAAACTTGGAAGGCCAAGAGAACAGCTTAACTGTTGGTCAAACATTAGATTGATTTGTGATTGTTTTAACTCAGATCGATAAATATAAAAGAATCCTGAAACTCAGCAACTAAAAGTAATGAGGTGTATTAGTTAAATCAGCAATTAGCATGGAGACAGGATTAGACAGTTAATAAATTTTTAGTAGCTTTAGTATCTAGTAATTGTTATATTTTAATAAAAATTCATTTGCAGAGTAAGAAGACCACGCAATACCCTATTTACAAAAATACACAAAGTTCTCCTTCCATTAATATATGTAAGTTTTCGTTTCACATCTAAAGGGTGAACAATTACTAATTAGGCAGAATGGCTTTGGTTTAACCAAATCATTCACAAGAGTAATCTACGGCTCTGGAGTTATTACGATATATTCAAAATAAGCCAATGCCAGAAACAAAATTACCAGCAAGTCATTAAGAATTAAAAAACCTGTCCCTAGCACCACACATATACACACAATCAGAAATCTCAAGAGTAGGGTTTTGAATTTTTCAAACATTCTGAAACAGTTTTTATATGGCAAGTTAACATTTAATTGAAAATAGTCTCTGGACATTTTTTTTCTTTCTTTTTTAAATGTAAGAAAGAGCTACTTTCACTCTCCTAGGCCTGGATCAGTCTTGCCATCTATTTCTCTTTCTTCACATTTAAATATTTCCTCTCTCGTCCTGGTTGGCGACTGTCAGGTCTTACCTCCTATCTCCATGGATTAGGCAGCTTCATCCACAAAGCCACATCTGCAATACTTTCTCCCATCTAATGTCCCAAAGCAGCTCGTGTTCAGACAATCTCTTTGAGAAATAGCTTGCTAAGAGAAAGAGAGCTCTAACTTATTTTTACTCACTGTTTATACAGGAAGAAAGTTCACAACAGAATCAAACCTCAACCAAAGAGTCCAAAAGAAAAATAGTAACAAGCTACTCTGGGATCTAAAAATCTGCTTCAATAAGATTGTTCTTTTCATCTGTCAATATGATTCAAATCATGCTTTAAAGGAAATTAAAATAACATATTATTTCCCTTCTTTATCCATTGTTCTATGAACTTTTTTTAAAGCTCCCAAAGGGATAAAAACACAAGTCTAGGAGATTTTTATACAGATTTTAAAAATAAAATAAAAATACACTGAAGAACAAGGATTCATTATCCTTAAAAATTCCCCTTTACAATGTAGCTATGGTTGACAAATTTTTGTTGTATTTTGGAGACAGGGTCTCCCTGTGTAGTCCAGCTCTCTATGTAGCCCAGGCTGGTCTCAAACTTGTGATCCTCCTGCCTCAGCCTCCCAAGTGCTGGGATTACAGGCAAGTACTACCATGCCTGGTGATAAAATATTTTTCTAAAAAACAATCTTTGATTAATCTTCAACCACCAATGAATGTAACTGTGTACTTCAACAAAAGCCCATATTATTTTTCATTAACTGTTTTTGCCAGCAGAGGGAGCAAAAAAAAAAAAAGATTCTATAATTAAAAGTTAACTTGCCCCAAGTTGTATCCACTACTTTATAAATATTTTGTGTATGTTATCTTAAAAATTTTAGAGAAATCACACACACACACACACACACACACACACACACACTATAGTTTAGGATTCAGGAATTCTAGAAATTAAAATAGAACGTCTTTGACTTATTTGAGAACACACATGTAGGAGGTGTTGTTCAGTCTGAGTCACCAATATCAAATATCCAACTCCCTAACATAATCTGTATAATTTTAATATTCTGCTAGTGTCCTAAAGTGAGTAAGCTAATAGACATAGCTAGTCATCATAGAAGAGAAGACCTAAGGGAAGGGGAGGCAAGAACTTATACTTCTAAGTTCTAAACCAAGTTTAAGCCAAAACAATGTCCATCATCAATTAGTGAAATGGACCAAGAAGAGGTTTTAAAGCAGTATCATAGTCTTCTATGACTGTGATTGTAATGAGAAATAAATTACTTGAGGAATGAAAGAAATGTCCCTATAAAATACTGGAAGAAAGAAATAAAGGGAAAAGAAGCTTATAAAAAAATATAAAATATTCCAAAGGTATGCTTTTCATTTTTAATTCACTTTTTAACTATAATTAAAGTATCAAAAAACATATTCAAAGATCACAAGAGAAGTAAATAGCTACAATAGCAACTTAAATTTTGCAATAAACAAAAAGTCTCCATTAATGCAAAAGGCACACTCAACTAAGAAGACCTTTATGGGCAGAATTATCCTTTTGTCCAACTCCAAAATAATGGCATGTGTTTCTAAAACTACTTTTAACAATTACTACAGCAAATTTTTATGTCATGTGTTTCAAAAAGAAAAACTGCACATTATATAATTTATAATCACATTTCACCAGCACATAAACTGTGACAACACTGTGTTTGTCTGTTTCCCAGCCTGAGAGATACAGTACTCCAAGAGCAATGCACAGTACCTCCCACAGGTAGGTGGTTGACCAACTTTAGCTTCTTGTCCTAAGCTATACAACTCTTAAGTATCAGTTCCTATTATCCAAAAGGAGTTTCAAACATCATCCAAGTGAGTATCTTTATCTTGTCCAATTCTAATTTTGTGTGAAATATCACTGGGTGAAAGTAAGAAGTCACCAAGTGTCAGACTTCTGCACTTACAAATACTCTATTCAGTGGTCTTCAAAGCCCCTTCCTGGAGGTGCCCTATCCTCCCCTTCAGGTACGTAACATCTTCACCAACATCTGTCTGCCCTCAAGCCTTCTCCATCCTTTCCCTTACCAGTAAGATACCTTAAGACAAGCTCCACCAAAATCAATTCAGGCAAATCAGTGAAGACAGAACTGCAAACCCCTGCTTGATTTCCAAACCTGTACTATGCAATACAGGTCTGAATTTGAGCACACTCTCTCAGGCATCATTATCTTATATGTGAGAGAAAAAAGGCACTACAGGTCAGGTATTAGCCAGCGGATGACAGAAGACCTACAGAGGGTTTGACATCACAGAGTTCTGTGACCAACTCTTGGTTTGTAAAGCAAACCAGGAAAGACAACATGAAGATACATTCTAGTATGAATCTGTTAGCTATCTCTCATTTTATAAACATTTTTGGCACTTTTACCTCTAACTCACTATGTAAAAACTGGTCTCAGTAAATATTTTTGCCTACCTCTTCCATTTCAAAGGAGTCTTTCTGCTGTGCCATTATATTTCTTATGCATGGGATTGTCAGTGGTGCATAAGGCTCTTTTTCAGATGCGGACATATGGATGTTTTTCAGCTCACTGCTGTCTTCTAGCTCAGTGTGGCTGGACATGTTGAAATCACTCCCTAAGTCAGATTCTATAATACCAGATTTCTGATGTGGCATACTTCATGCCTTTGAGTTTCTTTACTGTGTTCACTTTCCATTTCCTTGTTCAAATTAGTATTTGCTTCATCAGAAAGTTGGTCAGTATTAGCGTTCTCCATGACTGTTGCTGAGCTACCTGAGACTTCTTCTTTAACTGTAGCCAACACAGAAGATGAGTCTTTCTTCTTTACAATTTTTTGAGACTTTGTATCATTTTTACTGCCACCTTCTTCAGTCACTGAAACATTCAGAATTTTTCCTTTTTCAGCTGCAAGGGAAGGACTACTACCTTCTTTCTCCGTTTTATCAACACATAAATTTAGTTTTGATAGTGTTTTAATTAAACGATTTGCAGTGTTACTTCGAGTTAAAGGTGGAGGCGACTCTGTCTCCTTGTTAGAGGTCACTGAGGACATACTTCCAATTCTCTGCAGAGGAGTACCAGAGACTTGGGAATATAAAGAAGAAAATGCATTGGCCACAGTAGTAAGCACTTCAATTTGACGGAAACGGCCTACAAAAAGACCAACAAAACAAATCAATTACATATGTTTATGTTTAGATACGCACATATATTAAAACTATAGTATTATTTATGTTTAGATATACACATATATTGAAACTATACTATTGTTTAGAATTCTATTAACCGAACTGAGATCACAAATACTATGAAATAATATTTTTCCTCATTTAACATTTAAACCTTCTCTACATTTACTAGGTAGGGATGAGGAGAAAGATTTTTACCATAAACACTAGAATTTACATTTTTAAAAGAGACAGAAATAAGCACAAAACATGTTGATAATACTGAATAAAATAGTACTACTTTATCTATAGCTGTCATTTACTTTTAGGTCTTGGACTCCATTAAGACTCTTCCATATGTTTTCCTAAGAAAACACATATAAGTATATATTTGACACCTATGGGGGAGGTAGGGAATTACTGAGCACTTAAAACTGATTCATGAACTGTAAAGGAATCCTGTTTTGAACTAGTCAAGAGAAAAAGCAAGCAAAGATATGAGTAAAAATGATCAAATTCAAGCACCTGAAATCAACTGACTTCATTTAATTTTAATAGGCCCCATCCCCTATTTGTTTCCTTCTTCAACAAATATAATGTGGAGGTAAGTTCAAGGTCATAAAAGTAAGTTATGGTAATATTTAAATGAGTGAAGGATGGGAGAGGAGGGGAAGAGTAGGTATGTTAACCTATGTGAGTAGTATAATAAAAATTCAGAATAAGTAAAATAGCTATTGTGTTAATTATAATTAGCCTCATTAATTAACTTTTCAGTGCTATTCTTAGAAATCAGTAAGGCTTTAAATATAAGACCATCTCACTACAGATATTACAATTTTAAAAATAATGTGTTAACATTTAAAAACCTTACTTGTTAATGCGTAATTTGGGTTCTCTAATTCCATCCGTTGCATCTGAGCACTCAGAAATACTTTAATATCTATCCCTCTGGCAAATGATGATGAATTAAAAAATCTTGAAGGAATTTTAGAAGCAATATCTGGTTCATCTCTTCCAAATCCTAGATTATAAAGAATTTCTTCAGGATCTTCCTCATAAAGTTCCAATAATTCTGAAACACTGCAAGAAAAAGGTAAGAAAAGAAAAGAAACATTAAGATATAAAGTAAATTTATAGTTCATATTACACTATGAATCTATAGTCCTGTGATAAGATCTTTTTCTAAGCTTTTGTTCTTTAGCCATTATTTATTTCAGTGTCTTCATACATTGTGTAGTAACAGCATCTATACCCTTACATGGGATGCATTCTATCAGGCTGCTAGTGCTGGAGAAAAGCTAATGCTTAAGAACTCAATCAGACACTCCACGAGAATCTTCACCTTATTTTTTTGGTCATTTTGAGGGATTCTCAGCAAAGCAATTAAAATCATCAAAGGACACATAAAGTAGAATAAGGACCAAATGGATTAAACAAGATATGAAAGGGGAAATATACTAGGAAGTTGGTACAACTTTGGTACTGAAAGAACATGCTGCAAAACTTGAAACTTGGGCTTTCTTACTGTCTGTCTTAGGAGAGGCAACTGTCCTAGGGGAGGTAATAAAGGTAACAAGCCCATGTCAGATAGAGAGGAGGAGCTTACTTTCAGCTATTCTCTCAGTACTTCCACTCAGGAAAGAGAAGGAGTAAGGTAAGGTAGGGTATAGGTTACACAAAGGTAAAGTCTGCCTGATTCTCTTGGGAATTAAATATTTATTGTCCTTCTCTTTCACATCAGTGATAATAAAAACTTTCTAAGGCTCACTGAAAAAAATAGGAAAGTTAGAAATGGAACTTGAACAGGGCACTTCAATCTGTTTCAGAAAAAAATGCTCAGATTGTGATATAATAATTTGGGTAATAGTTTAAACTGGTTCCACACATTGGCTAATTTATACATATTTTTTAAATCTTTGGTTTAGGATATTGAAAAGAAATTATCCTTTAATATTAAGCTTTAAATGAGAAAGGTTTACTCTAATTTTTTATGCCAAATCCCTAAGAGAATAGGAAATTTTGGTTCTCTACAAGAAGTTATTCCACTATGGAATTTCTCTTTCAGAATGTTCATAGGACTTAAAATACTCACTAAAGAACTCCAACAGCATTATAAACATATCTGATGATTTTTATTTAGTTTCTTTTATTTAATTTTAAAGCAGCTTCCTGTCAAGTTTTGATGGTCTAGGAAACACTTTGGGTTCCTTTTCATACTACCTAGGTATACTACCTACGTATCACATCACAGAGTGAAAAAGTCATGTAATAGGCATGTCACCAAAATGCAATGTAATAACACGTAATTTCAGAACAAGTTACCTTGAGACAGTGCCACTGCTTTTTCCAGATCCAGTGGAATTCATACTTCTCCCTTTCTGATGAAACTGGAGTCTTCTCTCTTTGGCCAAGATATTGCTAAAATACAGTAAGGTCATATAAAGCTTCATTTTTCTACTAATGTTCATTAGTTAAAAAGGAACAGAACAAAACTGCTACATACCAATTTTCAATTTGAGCATCACTTTCATGGAGATGATTGGCTACAAGTAAAAAGAACAAGTAACAGAACACAGTTGTTAGGACTGTAACTACAATGGCACCATTATCAAGAAAGTAAGTTACCTACAATAATATAGCTTTGATCTAATGTGTCAAAGTCTTGTCTTGGCTCATTAAATCTGCATCATTAACAGTAACATGCAGAGTGGTAAGAATGGGATCAACAGCTTTTAGAAATTGTTTTTGCTTTCCGGCAACATAAAACTACTATTACATGAATGCTTAAAATAAAAAGACCTATCGATAACCATTTAAATTTCTTTAACAGGTTAAAAAAAAGTAATGAAAAAGATATACAGGATATATGTGGCATATATAGTACTAGTTATTAAATTTAAAAGCTGTTCATGATGAAGCATTATTTGGTTTGGCTGTAGTGTCCATCTATTTCTAATAGGTTTTTAAGCTTACAGCCAATTTTTTATGTAACTTGAAAATTTCTATTCATTTCAACATAATTTTTCTTTTAAAAACTACCTCTCAAGTTTATCCTATATTAACAAGGTATAAGCAAATAAATGTCAATGTTTAGACTTAAATTTACTGCAGTGAACTTTCATGGGCAAATAGAAAGAATGAGACTAATTACAAACATATCTATTTCAGCACACTTGTTTTTTTTTTCATTTCTTATCTGCAAGATTGTGGTAATTTTTTTGTTTCTTTGTACATTCAGCAGAACAGTACCTAATACATAGTACAGAGTAAATATTTATTCAAGGAATGAAAACAGCCTTGAAATAATTTTCAGTAAAACAACATAATAGCTTCACTCTTTAAGGGATTCCTTATTAGGTTCTGGTTCTCAATAAAATCATTCAACATTATGAAACGGCCAAGGCAGATATCAAAAGTGCTATTTACGGCAATGTTAAAATGCATTCTAAGACACTGACAACATGTTAAGTGTACTGATTTGGAAGCAGGAAGTTGAAGCTCTTAGCAGAGTTTGTTATTTGAAAATATACTTAAGAGATAATAAAATGTCTTCCAGACTTTATGATATGAGAAGGTTCTAAATAAGTACTCTATTTTACAGATGGATTTAAAACAATAAAAGATCATGATAGCAAGTTCGGTGAATAAATTCATTCTTTATCAACTTACAATTTAAGTATTCGACAAAATCCTTATTTTTAAAAAAACACACTAATAACCATGCTATACAGCTATTTAACCCAATGAAATAAAACACAATTAATGAGCTATAAAATATCTCAAATATCAGCAAAATTTTAAAAATACTTAATATTAAATTGTGGGAAGCTTTACTGTGAAACCACAGAAAATCATCATAGAAATTGGAAATTTAGAAAGAGTATAACACATTTTAAAAATGTTAATGTAGTAGGGAATAGACACCAGCACAATGATTTCTAATTAAGTTTTACTAACTGCTATTTTGTTAGAAAAAGAGGAAGGGGGAAAAAGACAGGAGGTATTTAAATGCAAAGAGAAAGACACGCTGCAGCTGTAAGTATGACATGAGTTCATTTCACACCAAAAATAAGCTTCAATTTAGTTTTCTCATGTATAAATATTTAAGCTTCTTTCCTTTTTCAAGACTATTCTGTTATATCACCACAGTTTGTCACAAAGTTTCTTTAAGCATTTAAGTCCCAGGCAGATAAAGATATAAACATTTCACAGTGGTATTTCAGAGCCATCTCTACAGTTACCCTATAGCCTATGACTAGACTACTAACATACAGAAGGAAGGTACTGTGGAATGTGTGTGAAACATTTTCAAGCTCCAAGGATCATAAATATAAAAATACTCGATTTTTTTCATTTTTTTAAATTTAAAACTATGTGAAAGTACAGTTTTTCTAAACATACCTTCAGCTCCCAATGACAAATCATCTTCAAAACTTCCTCCATTTCTCACAAGCACACCTGAAATAAACATGTGAAATTCATCCTGGTATTCTATTCTACCCCACTCCCATAAAATTCATTGTTTTAGTTATAACAAATTGATCAAACAAAATATTTTAAAAGACACAGGAAAATGTTTCAAACCTGAATTTCCTCAGAAATTACTAAGATTATCTAACTTCAAGAAGCAAGTATAAACTGATACTTTATTACAAAGGAACCATGTTTGTAGTCTGGGAAGGTCTCAGAAGCCAGTCTACAGGCTTTACACTTACTAACATCGAAGATACTCGATGACATAACATATATTACCCAAGAGTTTCATGGAAAACCAGATCCTGGAGGAATCATTCCTCTCTTCCTTCATATTAAGCCTAGAGCTCAAGTTAGATTTTCTCAACACTATAAATGCATTTTCTAAGCCTTGCCACTACCTGCACATTCTTGTTGTACTTTGAACTTGAGAATTCGTTCTTGCACAGGTGGTAAGATTTCAGGTGTGGCAATTTCAGTTAATGTAAGCAAAGAAATGCAGTACTAAAGTTGACCCAGTTCACCCAATACATATTTCCCTTATATTTACATATCATAGCCTATATTTAATTAGTCTTTATAATAGCTAACTAGGCAATAAGAATATAAGTTCTACACTGTGGAAAGGTTTGGTAATCTGCTTATATTCATTACTGTTTTATGGTTTATGACAATGTTTTTTTCTTTCAGCTTCTAGTTCAGAAGGGCTTATTTTATAAACAAGAACCTCACTTTTTAAATTCATATATACAATAGAGGACAAATGAAGGAAGACCCTCCCCCACTAAAAAAAAAAAAAAAAAAAAAAAACAGATGTAGAAGGCAACTTTCTCTTACCCTTCAGTGCACTACTGCTTTGCTCATCCAGTGAGGCTCCCAAAGGTGTACTGAAACCACAGAAACAGAAGACTCAGTGTGAGGAAAAATCCATCTGGAGAATTGTCACCACCATAATCTTACTTCAGAGTTACAGCTTAAACAAGCCTCTCAATCAATTTAACTCTCCTCCCCAAACACACAGGAATGTGAGTGGGTTACATAAGTAATATCCTACTAACTAAGCAAATACCTATTGTCAAGTCAGTTCACCAGGAATGACTTAATCACATGCCTGATCTGCCAGCAATTAAGAGCAAGGATGACAATTACAAGTGATATGAACTGGCATTTTCTTTGCAAAAACATAAAAACAGGATGAAAAAAAGTCATTTAAAAACTATTCTTCTCAATCTCTTCCACAGAAACAGAAAACAGGATTAGAGGAAAACAAATCTCAGTTTTCAGTAGCAGGTAACTTATCTTCAGTAAAACCACAAAGTTAGCAGAGGCTCATCAGTCTTCTTAAGCCTTATCTGTCAATCACTAGAGTGTAAGAGCACAACCCTAGTATATCTACTCCCCCTACAACTACTTATTCCCATATAAATAGAGGCCTGAAATTCACTTCCTGCTTTTAAACTTAAAAATACGTATTTTCTTCACTTAACTCTGAAAATTACTAGAAGTTGGCTTTGGAATCAACATTAAGAATCAGCTAGTGCTAAAATTTCTTCACATTTTTGTAAGAAATGACAGGAATTTTTTTTCAAATACAAGAATACCTTTATTTTTCTTAAAACTAAGTCATAGTAAGAAACACTGTTTTATTCTGAAGGTTCTATTTTTTGACACAAGATGTTTGTCAGTAACAATTTATACCTGCTACAAATTCACATCAGACATGGGATCAATTATGAAAATATCAGTTGGAGAGAAGTGTTATTGAAATGCTAATTAAGTTAAAACCTGCTGCAAGCAAAAAAAATAAGCAATGACAGTTCTTTGAAAATTAGTGGTTTTGAAATGTAAGAGAACCATAAGCCATTACCCAATTACCATAAAGTTAATAAAACCTTTAAGCTAAAGTTTTTGCACTTAATATAATAAAGCTCCAACTGATGCCTTTAAGGAGACTTTTTCCTAATGGCTCCTTTCTTAGGCCAAAACACTGCATTACTCTGTCCACAGAAATCTCTACTGTTCAGAGCACTAAGAGAAAATGGCAAATAAGCAGAATATAACTGGCATTCTCCATCAAAAATAAGTCTCCACTTTAGTTGCTCCCCAACAAATTCTAACAAAATCTCTTTCTCTTCTTAGATACTAACTCAAACAATCTGTTTAGTTACAAAAGAAATGGTTAGCAAAATAAAGACTTCCTTTAAATAAAGAAAATGTGGTATCTTTATTCGAGATATGGACAGCAATGAGAAAAAGAATATTTGAGAACTTCATCAAGGGGGTGGGAAATGCTGTCTTTCAAGTCATTTGTACATAATGTACAAAATACATGAATGCCCAACTCTGGGAAGGACCCTAAATTTCTATTTTCAAAAATACATTTGCACATACCCTATAAGTCAAATCTATGATAATAGAGGCAACATTAAGAGAGTACTTGTTCTAGCTTCCTGTGTACAAATGAATGCTGCTTTTGTATTGAATACATGCAATTGTAGGAACATGAAAGAAACTTATGAGAAAAGGAGCAGAGGGCTACAGAATCTGCATACGTAAATCAAGCTTAGCAATAAAACTTCTGGAATTTTCAATGATAATTGTGTCCTGGTAAATGTCAGCATTTTCCTATTACATTTTTCTGAAAAGATGTACTTGTTTACTACCAACTTGAAAGGATCTCTTCCACAATCTTAATTCCTAAACAGCATAAAATAATGTGATTTGTCTTATTCTCAATTAAAAAAAATGCCTTTGAATGTATACTTTAATTTGAAAGGTAAAACACTACAAATTTATTTTGAATGCTAAATCTATTTCAAACATACTAAAAGCAAGCCAATACTGTATTTAGGACTGCATTTAAATCAAGACTGAGATTGAAGGTTTTAAAGTAAAAGCTTTTGTTGCTGAGTAAAAGCAACAAAACATTCTCTTCAGATACTTCTTTTAAGAGGAAACCTGAAAGATGCTGGTTTTGCAAGTTTTCTCCTAAAAAAACTCCTGAAGATGCTTACCTAAAATATCAAGTTTTACACTTTACACCATCCTGGTATTTAACAGCTAAATGAACCAGTGGCACACTATTATGATTTCTTGACCCCTGCTGAATGGAGCCAGCTAATATCTAAGGCCATAGTCTCCTAATTTGAAAATCAGCGGGTTAAATTACAGCTAGATTGTTGTTTGGGGATGAATTAAAGCAGTTTATTTTCCTCTGTGCATCTTTAAAGAGGTCCATATATTTTACCATTTCAGAAGGATCTATGATACCCCCAGTAAAAGTTAAGAATTTTCTGTAGTAGAGGTTCATAAGGTACCAATTAATCAAAACAAAGCACTAATACAAATGGTGACCATGTTTTATCTGTCTTTAGGGGAGAAAAATAAACTGGCCTATATACGAATCATTTTCCAAAAACAAAAACTTCCCTAATTCTAGTACTTGACCAAAGCACTAAAATAAGCCTAAATTGAGAAAAAGTAAAAATATGCTCAAAAACAAACACCAATTAAAAAAAAAAGTTTAACGCTATATTCTGCACGCAGGATTTTACAACTTGCAAACAAATAGGAAAAATAAACTGAAACAAGTCCATTTGACTCTAGTCAGATACACTTGCTGTATGATTCATCTCGTCTGTATTTTATCAAACATTTTTGTACCATTTGCCAAAGCATGTAACTGAACGGATATATACAGCCCGAATGCCTTCAAAGGTCTATTCCCTGTGAATACCAGCGCCATCTGACAAATCTGTGCCTAAGAAGTAAAGCACAAGTAAAAAGTTAGCTACTTTTAATAGCTCCTCAAACAGAATTAAGGCCCAGAATAAAATTAAAGCCCAGTTAGGGTAGTTAAGTAAGTTAAACTCGTTTTAAAACACACTTGAAAGGAAAATGATTCCATCCCAGCTGTACAGGTGCCAAAACAAAACACCCCGTGAACCGTGAGCATTCTTTCAAACACTATAGGGCAAACAAGCATCAGGATAATGAGCTCAGGCTGCTCATCGCCGATGCTAAACGGACACCGCAGTCCGGGTGCTCGCGGCACAGCCCAGCGGCCCGGGGCTCGCGTTCGGATCCTCGAGGAGGAAGCTGTCGGGCGGCTGGCTTTCCGGTTCCCAGCTTACGCCGCCCGCCCGCCCGCCCGGGGACCCGCGGGGACGGCGAGTCACCCAGGCTGCCCCTCGGCGGGGGACTGCCGCCAGCGAGCGAGGACTCACCGGCAGTCCTTGAGCCATATCGCGATCTTCTCGTTCGGCACGTTTCCTGCAGAGCAGAGCAAGGGGACAGCTGTTACCGACACCAGGCGGATCGTGGCGGCCGAGTCACCCTGGACACTCCCCTCCCTGCGGGAAAGTCCACTAGGGGCGACGCGCGGGCTGAGCCGCACGTCCGAGAGCCCAGCGAGGGGAAGTCGGACGGCCCGGGTGAGCAGGTGGACGCGGACACGCCGGTCACGCGCGCGCGTTCGAAGGTCGGAAGCGCCCCCGGCTTCTGCAAGGCTCCCGGGGCGCGGGGACGCCTCCCCGACTCCCGCCCGGCCCCGCACACTGACCTCGGCCCGCGGCCGCCGGGAGCTTCGCGTCGGGGAGGTCCTCGTCGTCGTCCTCGTCCTCGTCCTGCGTCGTCGCTTCAGTGGACAGATCCTCAGTCTCCGACGCCTGCCAGGAGCTACGGCACTTGGCCCAGGCCTTCCTTCTGCGACTCGCCACTTGCCACTCCAGTTCCTCCTCCGCCTCCGCCGACGCCGCCAGGGGCCGGTTCATGGCCGCACCGGGGGCTCCGCTGCCCCAGCCGGAGCCTGCGCGAGACACTGCAGCGGCGGCGGGGACCCCCCGCCCCTGCTGTCAGCGCCCGGCCGGGCTGGGGGCCCCAGGGAGCGGGAGCGGGCGCCGGAGGAGGAGGGGACAGGGAGGGAGGGAGGGAAGGAAGGGGAGGGAGGGGGCGGAGGGCCGGCGCTTCACATGAAGCCGGCCGGGCGCGGCGCGGGAGCGCGAGTGGCCCGAGCCAGCGCGAGTGGCTCCAGCGAGCGCTGCAGCAGCCGAGCGCCGGCCCGAACCCGCCCCCCGCCCCCGCTTGGCGCGCCGGGCCGCCCTCCGCGTCTGCGCGCCCCGCCCTCCCCGGCGTCCACGCCCCCTTCCGGCCCGGGACGCGCGGGGCGCGGCGCGGAGGGCGGGCCCGGCCGGCGCGCAGGGGACGGGCCCAGTAGCTTCCCGCAAAGTGGGCGAGATGTTTGTGTGTTTGCTAATACTCTTTTGTTCTCGCTAGTCCTGCCTCGTCCGCGGATAGTGATGGAGTGGGAAGGCCAAGTCTCACAAAACGCCCACGCGTGAAAACAAGTGTCTAACTCGGCTCCTAAGACTCAGTCTTTCAAGAGTTGCCAGAGTGTGGGATATTTAATGTCCTGCGGATTGGGGTTGAGGATGAAAGAGGCACAGGATTGCTAGTGTCAAAATGTCAAAACTAGAAAAGAGCAAGCTTCCTGCTCCTGCTCCTTTCACACTTAATGAAGTTACCTCATTGTAGTATGTGAGGTGTGAAAATAAAATAAGAATAATCTGGAAATGTTACATTGAAGTTACAAGTAGAGAGGTGAAGGGAAAAGGAGCAAGAAACGACGGGGAAAGTAGAGATAATTTCTTGGATTTTGGTGGTAGGAGATGCTACAAGAAACAAATGATGTTAAGGTTCTGGACGATTTTTAAAATGTCTCTGCATTGCCCTTATTTTTTTTTTAAGCTCACTCACAAAGACTCAAATTGTATCCAAAATCAGAGACAGTGTGACATATTAAACAGTGTTTCCCTTAATATTACATCTAAACTACCTACACAGACTGTATAAATAAGGCTTCGATGTTTTATTGTGTTTGGCTTTATTCTGAAAAACAAATTAGAACATTTTTTGATCTGAACTTGATTGAAAGGAGTATTTTTATAAATGTAATATTTTAAGGAAGAGTTTTTCATTTGAAATTAATGTCAAGAGTATAGTAACATTTCTAATGAAAACATTTATATTACAGGTTAATTAAATGTGTTGTCCTCAATGGTAAAGGAAACAATTTTCTGAAAATTGATAGAGTGTGGACTGCTATTGAAGTAAACTAGTGCCTAGTTTTTGTTCAGGCACTTATACATAAGACATAGACTACCAAAGTAGCATGCTGATTTCTCTGCCTCCATTCTTATGTATCTTCTTTTTAGCACATTCCTCCCAATTTATAATTCCCAATATATCCTTTAAAAAAATACAATCAGTAATTCCTAATGGTTTATCAATATCCCCACGATCCAATCCAAAACCCAGGCTAGCTTTCCAGAGCCATCATGATAAACTCTGGGCCTCATACATTTATTGCAAAATATAGGGACAGTCAGAATAGTGATACCAGCATCTCAATGGCTTGAAATTTCACTAATTTTCTCTTCGAATACTTAAGATTTAGCCTTCAGGGGTCCTATAGGAAACTGCAGGTACTATTTAATGGCCCTCCCAAAGATAGGGTAAAGTTTAGCTACCTGTGGAAAGTGAGAAAGACAGGGAGTAAGGTAGATGCCTATAGAGGAGGCATTGAAAGGGGTTGGTTAAATGCCACAAATTATGCTGCTTTCTGTTTTTATCCAGGGCCTTTATGGACTCCATCCTGTCTGTCTTATGCTCCCAGGTTTAATTCTGTCATACCCATGTGTTGTTACTGGCTCTTTGTCCTTGCCTCTTACTTCATTCCTATTCTTTCTGTCCAATACCTTCATAACTTTCAAAACACCGCAGATACAGAATTTCATTGTTCCACCACTCCTGATCACATCCCTCCCACAGTTCCTTGATGTACAGCAGAAAATGTCCATATCATTTATTTGAGGACTGAATTATGCAGTAAATAATGATTGGCCCTAGACCATATGTTTGGCTTACCAGCCAGATTGTAAACTTGAGAGGTTACAGAACATTTCTCAATATTCTTCTTACACTCTTTATACAGTGGAAGTACTGAGTCCTCTTGGGGGGAAGTTTTCTGTTTTTTCTGTTCTTTGGAATAGACAATTAGACTGATAAACTATTTGCTTCATTTTATTTTTCCAAAGCCTATTAGGTCTTAATTAGTTTTGCTATTATTGAAATACATTTTTAGACAACAACAAAGAATTTTTAAGAAAGGTAATAATGAATCATACTTTATATTTAAAAATCATTCCACCAGAATCAAAGATAAAAAGAAAAAATCTGGCAGGTGCCATTAGAACAGAGTAATTATTAAATCTTCAAAAGCACAAATGTATGTTTTCCTCTACATTACAATTTTTAATGCAAAAAGTTAAGGGTACATAACTGTGTAACTTTGTTTACTTAACATAGCTCTACTTTTGTTCCCTACCTGTGAAATGAGTGTAATAATACCTATCACATAGACCCTTGGGGGGATTGAGTGAGATAGTGTATATAAAGTGCTTCAAACAGCATTTGGCCTGTAGTAAGATTTCAGTGTTTGCTGCTCACATAATAGGAGTAATAATACTTACTATTTTATGGTAATATCAAATGTCACAGAAAAGATAATGCCACAAATCTTTAAACCCTTTGAGTCTGTAATCCCACTTTTGCATATTTAATTGCAAAAAATACTGAAGGTACAGATTGAGAAGGAAATACATCAAACAGCATGCTACTGCCTTGATAACTAAGGGATTTGAATTTTATTGTCAACATTGAGGGTTTTTTTATTCTCAAGGTATTTCACTTATTCAATAATGAATGCTAAACATGAGGAGAGTCTAGATGTTTGCTTATTTAATAATTATTTTCCAAATAAGTACCATATTGTAGAACAACTGCAGCCCCACATTGCAAGTGCTGTACGTAAAGAATGTTGTCTAAGTCATTGATGCTTACAAAGTGGAGAGAGAAACAAATTTATATTAGATGTGGACAACTCCATGGATATTGTAGGGTCTTTGGTGTCAGACTGAAGTTTGAAAGCTTTCCCTCTTTTTCTAGCTGTAGGGCCTATGGCAAGACAGCTAATTTCTCTGGCAATCACTTTCCTCATCTGTGAAATAACAAACATCACTATCTTTCCAAGTTAATGTGAGTATTATATGAAATAAAATACATTCTCAGTGTGGCTGTTAGAATTATTATATTGCAAAAGGCAAAAATAAATCAATTTCATATGAGGGAATTATTCTTATGCCAACATAATGGCATCTATCTTCATGCTTATGCAGCTGTATTTTAAAATTAAATTTAGGCTAGGACAGAAAATGTCTTAAATGACACAATTTTAAATGGAAAACATTATATCATAATGGAAACATTATGCTTGGTTTGATTACTTTAGTTACATTTTACATTCTCAAACCTTAACATATGCCTCAAAATTACAAAACAAAATTTACTAAAGACTAGACTAAGGTATTTGGTTCTGATTAAGTTAAGGCCTTTGGGTTCTAGTTCTTTCATTCATATCTATGCAATTGAATTGATATTTTATTATATGTCTCAAAAACTTAATAATCCAGAATCTGATCAGAGAGTGGTATAGTTGAGGTTGTATCAGATTTTCACCCCTTATTTGGAAAACACTGCATATTATATCTTCCTCCTCTTCTTCCAGCTGAATCCCAATGTAAATGACTTCAGAAGCCCTCAAAATTTATTTTTCTAAAACATGACTCATGTCTGTAGTCCTATCTACTCAGGAGGCAGAGATCAGAAGGATCACAGTTCCAAGCCAACCTGGGCAAATAGTTTTCAAGACCCTATCTGGAAAAACCCATCACAAAAAAGGGCTGAAGGAGTGGCTCAAGGTGTAGGCCTGAATTCAAACTGCAGTATCAGGGGGGGAAAAAAAAAACAAGGTGATTTAAGATTTAACTTGTTTAGATCAGTAATTCTAAATTTCATTTCAAAACAATTCTTTTGAGTTCTCCAATTCCTACTAACATTTATAGGGATACAGTGGAATAATTTGTGGTAGAATAAAAGAGAGTGAAAGAAACATGTTCATCAATGAGAACAGACTCCAAAAATTTTCAAAGATTTGTTTATAAGTCAAGTAATTGAACTATGATGAAGGTTATTAATCTGATTTTAATTGGTTCTTTAATACATTCCTATAAGCTATCATTAATCTTTAAAGTAGTTCTGGTTTTAATATTTTCATATACTATTGTATATATTTTAAGGAACTACAATTGTATAGTTAAGGTCTATAACTCAAACCTGTGACTCAAGATTTCTCCATATTAACAAAAATTTAAGGATTATTTGATTAGTTGCTTTTTCTCATAGGAAGTACAGTAATCTATTCTGATTGTCCTTATTTTCTTAAGTGTAGAGGGAGAAGATGCTAATAGTACTGGAACTTTGCTTTGCAAATTATTTACAAAATCTGAGTAAGCTACTAGTTTATATAATTTCTGATCTTGTGCCATGTTAGAGGCTTGTCAGATTCATCACTTATTCTCAGATCACAACTTCTTATTTACCAAATAATGCTAAATTTACTCTCCCAACAGTGAAACTTTGTAGCCAGCTTGTCTTCTTTCCAGTGGCTCAGTTCTCTTCTGTTTCTGAGCAACAGGTAAGAATGGCTCATCTATTCTTCTTCCGCAGTGTAGTGAAACAAGATTATGTAACAGAATAAGCTTTTTTTGTTTTGTTTAATGAACTCGTAAAACATCTCAGAGGAGGTTTTGGAATCATTTTTTGTAAGCTTTTTTTTGTTTCTTTTATTCATATGTGCATACAATGTTTGGGTCATTTCTCCCCCCTTCTTGGAATCATTTTTAGTAGACCTAGTTAAATGGGCCAAAATATTTGTAATTTGTCTGTGAAACATACATGCACAAGTTTGGATCAATCCCTTTTCTTTTTCTTCTCAATTCTGCCCTAAAATGTTACTTTT